CTCACTGCATGAGCAAAGGGCTGTATTTGATATCTGAAATTCATTTACAAGTCAGTTGGTCTTTGTTTTTGTTATTTCCTAGGACTAATCAAGGATTCTTAGGATGTATCCAATCTGCTGAGCCCTACAGCTTTCATTTTTGCCAAAAAACAAACAAACAAAAAAAACCAATGAATTCCCTTTAGTCAAGTATGCCACTAACAATTGCCTTCTGTCTGGAAATCTGACTGGAAATGGCCCTGAGCAAACTGCTGCAACTGACCCTAGTGGGGCTGGACTACGCAATCTTCAGAGGGCCCTTCTAACCTCAAAAATTATATGATTCTTTGAAATCTGGAAGTGACATTATCACTTACTTTCAACAATTCTTGCTAAAATTTCAAAATTGACTCCTTGCCTTCATTTACATTTTTCTAAATAAATAGAAACATTGTCCAAGCTTTCTGAGCACATACTTCCATAAATCATGTAACAAGTTGCATCCATGGGTGTTTTTTGTGGGCTTTTTATTCATTTTCAACATATTTAGCATTATTTATTCAATATATTTTAGCATATTGAACATGTAGGAGATACTTTTCTTTATTTCATTGCAAATTGTTGGACTTCCCTTTATGTTCTAACAAACTTTCCAGACCCTTATTTCAAAAAAGAGTTTTCTTTATATAATGTTTCTCTTCTGTTCTGTCCATAGGAGAGCTTGCTTAATATTGTCTAGTCTAGTTCTGGGAGTTGAATTATGTATAAGCTGAGGACTGGCACCATGGAATATGGCTATTTTAATTAATATTTTTAGTAGGATGTTCTCTAACACAGGTCACCTTACTGGAGCAGAAGCTTAAGTAAAATTATAAATTTCTGTTCTGTCAATAGGAGAGCCTGCTAGTTCTGGGAGTTGAATTATGAATAAGCTGAGGACTGGCACCATGGAATATGGCTATTTTAATTAATATTTTTAGTAGGATGTTCTCTAACACAGGTCACCTTACTGGAGCAGAAGCTTAAGTAAAATTATAAAGTTGATTCTGAAGTAAAAATTTATCTAGAACAAACTCATGGCTTTGCATATCACAAAAGAGAGGATATCGATCCTCAGGATAAACCTTCTGTTGAGGAAGGAAGAAAGGATATGATCATCTGACTGAATAAGCACATTTAATAGAAGAGGAAGCACCTTAAATTAATAACAATTACATAATACATTGTGGAGATTTTTTTCTCTCAAATATAACGTCAAAGAACCATAGCTTATAGTTGCCTCATTTAAAAATAATCAGTGTTGTTAATTAATTCCTCTGTCTCTCTTTGCTGTGGGTTTTCACTTTTTTTTTTTTGTTGTTGTTTGGAAGATCATTGTACCTTTAATTACCCCAGCATAAAACCTGGATATCTCTGAATTCAGCGGAGGCCCATTAACGTCAGACCACCCTTGCCAGGGTAGATCTGTTACAAGAGGACAATCAGGTCATATATTTAGAGCACAATAGTCATTCATAAATATTAGAACAGCGTGTGTACTCTAACACTAAGGCTGTGATTATGCAAACAGTTGCAGTAGTAGTTTGAAGGGTAAAATACATAAAGACAAGCACAGCCAAATCTTCTTGAACAACCTGTGACTCATGAAGTAACTGGAAATTCAGATGTAGAGCCAAAAGAGGTGTGTGCTTACAGTATGAAGTCCAACCAGCTACAGGCAGAGAGGTGGTGTGTGTGGTGGATGAGGGTCTGGCTTTACTGGTGTATAAGTTCTGAAAAAGGATTGTTCAGAAAGGAACGTGGAACCAGCAGGAAATCATATTAAAATCCATTTAGCTTTTCAGGTTTAATTTTAGTATTAAGATAAGGGGGCATGGTATTACGTATACGAAGAACTAAGGGAAGTGAAAAGGTAGTTAGGCAAATTCAGAGAAAAATATATATTGTATATATTGCAATATATTATTGCATGTATTGCACATACTGCCATAATTTCTTTTTTCTAGGAAGGATTTGAAGAGCTATTTTTCTAGCATTTATTTTACTTCTGTTATTTGAAGTTGCTATGAGAATCTAAACACCGTATGTGGTATAAACTATTCTTTGAGTGAGAAACGCTCCTCCTGCTCAATCACAGAATCACAGAATGCTTAAGGTTGGAAGGGACCTCTGGAGATCATCTAGTCCAACCCCCCTGCACACACAGGGTCACCTAGAGCACGTGGCACAGGACTGCGTCCAAGCGGGTTTGGAAGATCTCCAGAGAATGAGACTCCACAACCTCTCTGGGCAGCCTGTTCCAGCGCTCTGTCACCCTCACTGTTAAGAAAAAAATGATTTGTTTTTGTCTCTTTGCTTCATTTTGGTATTCTTTAGTTGGCTTTTTTTTGGGGTTCATTTATCCAAATATATTAACTGTTGTAAATAAATAATACTGATAAATGATGACAAATGATAAATATTCCAAGTATGGGAAATGAGCTCACACACAAGCACTAAATTTCAAGGCCGTTCCCTTTTCTGAGAGAAAAGCTGTGGCCGCACCACCTGTGCGTCTAGTGCTATATTTTAGATGTGTCTTTCAGGAAACAAGGAAGTTTGATAGCTAATGTCCTTTGATAAAGCTCTTTATGGGTTAACCTCAGGAATCCAGTACAAAAAAAAACAGGAAGAAGAATGGAAGGAATGGAAGGAATAACAACAACTACAGAAGTCATTTTAATTTGAAAGGAGTTAAGAACTCAAGGGTCTCCAGGGGACTCAAGGGACGTTTTTTTTGATGGATAAGGTGTGCTGGGGTAGGGTAGAAGCGTGCTGGATTTCTGTTTATTTGCAGAGCAATCTGCAGATTTTTCCTGTGCTGGATGAACTCTGTCCTACCTAAAGCAGTGCAGGGTCAGCGCACTCTCTGTCGCTAGCTCTCCCCGCCTCCACTTTGCAAGGCAGTGGGGCGAAATGCCAACCTCCTGCTTAACAGCCACGCAGCACAGCCCCTACACACACAGCAGCACCCGTCTGTCTGTCTAAGCGCATTGCTCTGCCGAGCGAGCCCCACTCGAAGCTACAGAGAGGGCATCTGCAAGCTGCAGAGCACGGCCCGTGCTCGCGTGCGGTATTCCCGCTCACACGCGCTCTTGCTCCACACAGGCATGTCCCTGGTGCAGTTTCAAGGAAACGGCACACTTTAAAAGGAGGAACCGTAGCTGTGCGGCTCAGTGACGGGCGAGGGCAAAGGCAGCCCCTTACGTAACGGTTACTTGAAGGGACGTGATCCCTGCTCTAACCCCTCGTGTTTTCTGACTTGGCACTTCTGCTGGCGCCTTTGCCCCTCGCAGTGCTGCGGGCAGCTGTCCCCTCAGGGCTCCCTGGGCACGGTCCTGCTTGATTGCCACAGGTAGGCACATTTTCTTGACTTTAATGGCTGTTCTGCATGAGAAAGTACTTAAAAAACAGCATATACCATTTATTACAAATTATTTGCATAGCGTGCATACAAAGTTTACAAGTCTTATCTATATGGCTTGTAAGTCTGTGCAAACTTCATTCAAGCTTTAGTCTGGAACTCTTTTCCTGAGCCGTATCTTTACGTACTTTGAATTTATAATTCTGCTTTAAATGTTATCAGATAACTTAACACACAATGTCTACAATTGCAGCCTTTAAGGGCATAGTGACTGCTAAGGACATTGTACTTGTGTTACTTGAGCTGTGAAGTATAAATTTCTTTAATATTCAATTGCTCTTTTTATTACATTTTCTGAATTTTAGTCTACTCAAAAGAAAGAAAACAGTTTGTGGAAAGGGATGCCAGAATTAGTTAAGCAAAAATTAGACGTCAGCTCTTTTCTATTGTATATTTAAACTCTATTTGTCTTATATGCCTGTTACTTCTTTTTTCATGATAAGTATATTTTTAATTATATCTGAGTCTAGCTGGATCTTACAGGGGAGGCTATAACATGGGAAAAAACACCAAATATAGGTGGAGATGGCTTATTTAAGAAAACATCTAAGATGAGTATAAATGTGTGTCCAAGGTGAGCACAGTTTATGTATCAAAAAGATACAGCTCATCTTGAACTGATGTGGGGAGGATGAAATCTTGCAACGTCTTCAAGCATAACCCTGCCAACCCTGCTTGTGGTAGTCTGAAATTGTGAGCTGGTAATTGTAGAACATCTTGGTCTCTAGAAATCTGTGAAAATCTTCCGTTGATATGGTTTTATTTTCCTAGAGATGCCCCTTTTGTGCCACAAGTACTTAAGGAACAGCAACCTTTTTCTTGCTCTTGTGTCTGTGAGGATATTGTGAGTGGTCAGATACAGCTCCATTTCTGTACTGTGCTGTTGTCTTAGAGCTCAGACACCTTTGCAACTGGTCCATGGACATATTACATTAGGTTTTGGCTAGACTCTCTTCATAACTTTGAACAAGCTGAACATGAGGCACCTGGCGCATATTCACATACATTATTTGAGTCATTGTACAGCCATCTGAGCTCAGTTTACCCAGGCAGTTAATCCAGGTCTAGGGGCCAGTGACCGTTTCTGGTGGCTTACAGTCATTAACTTGAGACTGAGTAGCTAGATAAACTTGCATCAATATCTACTGGCACTTTTCACCTTTGTGGATAACCTGTTTACCCTGACTTATGCAATAGTTCATAAAAATTTAACCATACCTTACTGCCAACTTGTTCACAAAACATTTAACTTAGCTTAAGGAACTTTTGCTCACATCTTTTGTCTCTTTTTTCTTTATTTTTTTTCCTTCTTATGTTGGAGTTTAAATGGTTCTTACTTGTCATTAAATAAATATGATTTTATCCTGTCTATAACCTAAATAGCGCTAACAAAATTTTTATTTATAGAAAATCAAAGTGCTGTTTGATAAATGTCACATTTCAGATCCAAGGATAATCACTATGTTCATAATAGTGCTATAATTATTGAAAAATCTGTATTTTATGATAACACTGGGTTTTGATCTGTTTTGGTCAATATTCACTGCTAATTTTTTGTTTGTTCCTTCCACGCTAGTATCACACATGGCGAATGAAGCCAAACCCTGCCCATGCGATATTGGAGACAGGTTTGACCATGAGGGTCGTGGGCAGGAAGTACAAGTTGGGCACATCAAGGCGTATGTTTGCAAACCATCTGTCAAATCAGACAAAGCCGTGATCGTGATTCATGATATATTTGGATGGCAGCTCCCAAACACCAGATACATAGCTGATCTGCTCACCACACATGGATACGTGTAAGAAGCCCTACTGTTTTGAAAGTGTTGTTATAATAAGAAAGTTGTCTAGCCAACAGCTTCCTTTCTAAACCATATAAATATGTGCAATTTTAGTTTTTTTTCTAAGGTATATCATATTTATTAAAACGGTGTAAAGAATCTAACATTGCTTACTATTCCTACAATAACTAGGTAGTAGGCAAATATGGAAAAAGAGAGGATAAACACAGAGAAGTCTGATTTTCCAGCTTTAACACGGTTATTGGGTCACCTTCACCAGCTTTAAACAGCCTCATTCCTCCTTCCTTGTTCGGCATTTATTGCTATGATAACATTTTTGGAAAAGCTGAACGAAATCTGACAAAGGTGAAGTATACCAGCATGTGCAGTGAAAGAAATATATTTTCAGATACATGGAAAGCATATATGTGAGAAGCTCATGAGACATACATCTTTCCATACGTTTCCATACAGTTTCTGGGTAATACTTTTTAGCCCAAGTGTATGTAACATGCAAATTGCAGAATTTTTGGGGAATTTGGTAAGAAATTGCTAAGGATTTTTTAATTGCAATTAGAAAATTGTCCTATTAATGTGTTACATCAAGGAAGAACATATCTGGAAATTAGACTAACTCTTCTTATTAGATGTAGAAGAATAATGGAGGTCTCTTGTATAATACATGGACGTAGATTAAATTCTCTGTATATTAAGCAAAACGAATTTATTGTGTCAAACATATAGATGTACCTTTAATCCTGTATCAGTGCTATTTCATGGCTTTAAAGTGTTTAATTTTTCCTACAGAGCCATCTGCCCAGACTTTTTTGTGGGACAAGAACCTTGGAACCCTTCTAATGACTGGGCTTCTTTCAATGATTGGCTGAAAACTCGTGATTCCAGCAAAATAGACAAGTACATCTGATATTCATTGCCCAACATGTGGTCATGCTTCTTTAGCAGGAGTTTTTACCTCAGGAAAGATGCAGGATCAGGTCCAAAGTTATTAGTGGATCAAAAGCAGCAGGGTGTCTCTGCAAACAAGAATTCAGTGGTGTCCATGGGTCAAGCTCGTGGTTGACTCATGTGCAGGGTGCTCTTTGGAGAAAAGCAGAAACCTTGAACTGAAATAAAAGTGACTTTCAGACACAAATACCATCTGCAGAGAGCAGAAGTGAGATAAATGTTTCAAAAGAAAAAAAAAAAAAAAGATTGAGGCTAGAAGATGCAGCAGACTCCTTCCAATTCAATTTGAGCCAATTCTTGGAGGCAGGTCCAACTTCCATGCGGAAGAGTTAGAATGAAATTGTCATGAAACCCCATTTCAATAGAGTTTATTAGTCCTGTTCCCCGACAGATCCTAGCCAGTTCAAAGTACAATACTTTGCCACTCTTATGTGTGCCATTTTCACCATTTGTATTTGACAAGTAGCCTAAGTTACATAATTATTTTGCTGATCAATTTGATTCAACATTTTCAAAATTGGCTTCCACAGATTGATTTAGTACTTGATTTCTCCACGAACAGTTTACTTCTGGTGACACTTGTGATAATGGGATACGCTTGACTAGCTATATGTCTCTTAAGCTTTTATACTTGTTGGCCTATGAGAAAACTACTGACATCTTTGTAATTGATTGAGTTGCCATTTATAAAATCAGCTCAGGTTGCAATAACCGCGATCTAAGGAGACATATTTATTCTCCTTCACGCATTGCCTGTTTTACTTCTCTCCTGAAATTTATCATTTATTTTAGAAATGATTGACTTGACTTTCAAAACTACAGTCCAATCTTGATGTTGTAATAGTTTAGGATATGCTAAAATCCAAAAATGGGGCAGAAATGGTAGAAGATGCAGTGAAATTTAATTAGTTGTACTTTATTTTCAGATTTCCAGAAAATACTTAAAGACTTAATTCACTTTGTTTACATGTCTTAGAGAAATTGATGTCGTCTTGAAGTACCTACAGGAACAATGTGGTGCCAAGAAGATTGGGGTCATTGGTTTTTGCTGGGGTGGAGCAGCAGTACATCATGTGATGCTGAAAAACCCTCATTTAAAGGCTGGGGTGTCCAACTATGGTAAGTGTAAGCTGTCTATAATGTTGTGACATGATTGCAGCAGGAAATTTTTCCCTAGGAGTATTGTGTAGCAAAATTCTGTGTTAGACCTTATAAAGAGTTGATTTCATTATGCAAAATCTTTAAGCAGCTTGACTTTTTGCACACATCTGATCATAAGCAGAAAGAGATATGTATTCACAGTGTATGGCCAGGACCACTTCTATGCAGCACAGAGTACAAGAAATACCAGGGCGTCGTCGTGTCTCAGGTTCCTTTTGATAGGTGTTGACAAAACAGTTCCCAGATAAATATTTTATGTCTTTTAGGAGCTCTCAGCTATTATGGGGTGGATCTTTGCATCTGAATCTTGTTCACCTTGACTTCCATAAATATTGAGACAGTTTGCTGCTTGTTGTCTGTTTCTCCTTGTTTGGGTCTTGTCTTTGATGGCAACACTTTGGCCATCTGTTTGCTAAAGCACAGGGTCTTCTCCTGATGGGTGGGTCATGGTGGCTGTGGGCTTGTCAGCTTGCAGGACTTCCAATCATGACATAAACAATTTTTCAATTGTTTCTTCGATTTTACTACTGGAAACAGTATCCATTATTACTAATACAAGCCATTTTTTTTAACTCTGTGTTAAACCTTGTGGTATTACTCTCACATTTCCATTTGTGTTACAAATTGTGTTGCAATCCTGTATAACCGCGAGCAATTTAGATCCATCTTGGATGTACAGAAGCTGAAGGTATTTTCCTAGAAAGCTTACGGGGACCATTTGCTGTACTGATTGGTTGAACGTGAATGAATTCATCAATATTTGCTAAGTTTTGACTTTTCTGTGGTAATAATATAACCAGTGAGTGATCAGGGTGTTAGTTCTCAGTGTTTTACCTTTTGCAGACACAGAAAATCAGTTTACTCTGAATTTGCATCAGTATAACATACATGTACGCTGAAACACTAGCCATGTATCTGGTATGATAATTGGTCATAATCCTTTTAAGAACAGACATACCAGGTGAGAGACTAGATGGTGTATAGAGTAAAGCATTCACAGTATCCTCGCCCTGATGGTGGTTAAAAGCAGGTGGTCAAAGAAAATCATAGGGATGGGACAAACATATAAAGCTTCTTACATGACCTTTTGAGACAGAGCTGTTATTTTTATCTGTAATCCCATCCCAAAACATGGGAAGTTCATGTGAAAAAAACAAACTTTTAAGTGAAGCATGTTTAATCCCTTTACAAACTGATCTTTTAATCAGTCTAACAAATGGAATTGCCATTTATTTTGATTGTACTGCTTTACTAGAGATTTTAAAAACAGCATGGATCATCTTATGTTTGTATTTTTCCCTAGGAGTGATCAGGTTTTTTGAGGATGGATGCAGTTTACTTCATCCCACTTTCTTCATTTTTGCTGAAAAAGATGACTTCATCCCCCTGGAGCAGGCAAGTTTCTCGTCAGAGATAATTTTTGTTGTTGTTTTGCATGCTCATTTCATAACTTGGTATTTAATTAAGAGAAACTAGAAAACTGATTTGATCTTTCCTTTCTCTTTCTCTAACTTCTTAAAATGTTAATAGGAGGAAAGGGATGAGCATCCACAATGGAGTCAAAGGAAGACTTGTGGCAGGTTTAGGATAGGACCCTCCCTTTAGTCATATTGGCAATGCATAAAATCAGCAGAAAATCCCCACCTGGCATCACTAGTTGCAGAAAAATTCGAAAAATCCTGTGACTATTCATGTCTTTCACCACTGTCCTGTAGGTTTTTATTAAAAAAGTAAGTATGGGAATCTTGAGGAGCAAAGAAATAGAACAGGATAAATAGAGAAGGCTAATTATGTACAAAGGAGTCCAAAAAGGGCGGTATGCTCTTATTGACTG